AGGATCAAGTTCCCCTGGAGTGATTAATAAGGACAACCAGATTCCTGCTGGGAAAGGACTTCCAGTCCCTAGGGGGGCGCCTGAGCCTAATCAAACTGGCTCCCTGCTGGAGGGAAGCATCTAGGATCACTGGCTCCCGTCACCTTGACAGTGGTAGCACGGGAGGCCTGGCTGCAGTGACTGGCTCCGGGGTCTCTCGAGTGCCAACCCCATGGCGGTCCTTTCGGCGGCTGACAAGCCCTTCGCACCCCCTCTGACACCGCACACCCCGCAGCAAGGGGGTGTGACGTGCTCTGTGCCGTGCGAATGGTGGCCCCCAAAGGTACCGTGTGCTCATCCCTGGCACCTGTTACCTCGTACGATAACTGCTCTGCTGGTGTGATTAAGAATCTGGAGATGCAGAGAACGTTCTGGATTATCTCAGTGCTACCACAAGTGTCCTCATCTGACAGGCAGAGCAAGACGATCCACACCGAGAGGGGGAGACGTGGAGGCGGAGACTGGAGCGCCACGGTCACAAGTCAAGGAACGCTGGGGGCCGCTGGATGCCCGGAGAGGTGAGGGACGGCTTGTGCCCTAGAGCCTCCGGAAGGGGGGCCACTCTGGTGACGCGCTGATTCAGGCCCAGTGAAACGGACTGCGGACGTGGGCCCCCAGAAGTGCGTGAGAATGCAGTTCTGTTGTTTTCGTGGCAACTGGTCACGGCGGCCACAGGAGACTAACACGCCCCGCCGCCCTGCCAGCATTGCCCCCATGCAAACGTCCTGGGGCAAAGGGGAGTGGGTCCATCGGCTCCTGAATGGATGAGAAGCAGGACAACGGGAGGGGCAAGTCCCCTGGGGCCCCTGCAAGGACACTGGGGAGGACACGTGTACAGCCGACACTTGTCGACGAGGCCGAGGAGGGAAAAAAGAGACTCTGGATCTTTTGTTCAGTGCGTTTGTTGAATCTGGGAAGCTGAAGGGGAAGGTTCCGAGGGCTTCAAGGCTAACGGAAAAAAAAGGACATTTCCCCTCTGTTTAAGTGTCGGAACCTGAAATCAGCTGTCTTTCTCCTGGGAATGAAATGCACGGAGCTTCTGGATCCTGTTAGAGCCAAGAAGCTGGCTGCCCGTGTGCCCTCGGGTCCGAGCAGAGAGCCGGTGGTGTTCTTGGCCCTGCTTTCCCGCTCAACTGGGCCCCGCACTCTCAGGGGAGGGCCGGGGGACCTCAACACCAGACCCCACAAGGCCCTGTGGCTGGAGAGAAGAGGAGACAAGCCAGCCCCCACCTCCCACGCACTGGTGACAAGGCACTGCGTATGTCCTTTGCTCCATCCAGCCCAAAGGGGTTCCTGCCGCAGTTGAGGGATGCGGGCTTTGGCGACAGGGCCCGGAGCTCAGATCACACCCCTTTAATTTTACTGCTGTGGAAACGGGGCCAAGTTACTTTATTTCCCGGAACCTCAGTGTCGTCTTCTTGGGAACGGAGAGGAAAGGGTAATTATGTAAAGGGGTGGCATATTGTGTGGACCCTCAAAGTGAGGGGTTCGGTGAGTGTCCCAAAAGGGCAAATGGCATCTCCAGGGGGTACCCTGTGCCGGCGATGAAGATGAGACCTGAAGGTATGGGTGGGGTTCCAAAGCCTGCCAGACCGTGCGTTTGGTACCTTTCTTCTAATTCCGGCTCCTCTTCCAGCTGGCCACATGACCTTGTTCCCGGCAACTGCTGCTCTGAGCCCACATCTTCTGTGTTAAATGCACACAACTGTCTCGGCTTTACCCCAGTGTCGGCCCCCAGTACTCGTGGGACGATAACACCTGCAAAGGAATCTCTTAAGAGTGCACGGTGCTCTCTGTGCCCGAGGAAGAAACGGACTCTCCCCTCGGATCCGGGGTGGCTAACGCATCAGAAGCGGGGAGACAGGGGGAAGGGGAGGCGATCAGAAGTCAGGACCAAGGCGGGTGCCTGGGAAGGAGGCAGAAAGTAAATCAGTCTCTGTGTGTGTCGCCTCCTGCCACGTAATGCTCCAATCTGCTTGAGTATTTTCACTGCCATCTGTCAGCAGCTCGAAAATATATGGCCTTATTCTGTCCCGTTCCCTGTGTTTACATCTGGTTTGCAAGATTTAGCTGGGAGGTAAATCATAGGGGGAGGTTGCGAGCAGCAGCGCCCGATGGTCCTCACAAACAGCATTTTGTGCTCAGCTTTCGCTTCTCATATTTCCATTTAAAAAATGCGAACAGAGCCCTTCCCATCCACCCAGAACTTGACAGTATTATCTTATTCGAACCTCACTTTATGCCTATGAAAGTAGGCATTAGGCCCGTTTGACAGGTGAACCTCACAGAGTGGATCACGACTTCCTGGTGGCAAAGGACAGCAACCACAACTCACCCAGCGCCTGAGTGCCAGGGGTTTGGAAGGCTCTGACTGGCCGGGTGTGGATGGTGAGCCCAGTCCTACAGCTGGGGCTGGTCGGATCCTAGAAACCCAAGAGCTGAGAATGGGGGTGTTACATCTTACAAGAGGCTCAACAAGGTAGTGCTGGAAGAGAGTCTTAAAAATAGCGGCCATCTGGGGCGCCTGGGTGGCTCAGTTGGTTAAGTGTCTGACTCTCGATTTCCACTCAGGTCATGATCTCGCGGTCCGGGAGTTCACGTCGGGCTCTGTGCTGACAGCTCAGAGCCTGGAACCTGCTTTGGATTCTGTGTCTCCCTCTCTCTCTGCCCCTTTCCTGCTCACACTCTCTCTCTCAAAAATAAACAAAA